TAGGCATGCTCATACAGCAGTCGTGATTTTATGACCCCTCGTGACAGAATTGGCCGACAGCCAAGAGTTTGCTAGGCGAGTAGCCAGTTTATGTTTTGCCAGTGAATCAACTGACGATTCTTTAATCCACTAAACCCGCTAATAGCTTGCCATTCCACATTTACACGTTTGGATTTCAAATTAAGAACGACGACAATGTTAGCATTTTTCCGCCCCGGCTAGGTCACACGACGGCGATACCAAATCACAAAGTACATCGTCACGGTAAAGACACTAAAACCCGTGCAGAACATACAGGTAATCACCAAATAAATAAGTGTCTAAGAATGTTCTCCATTTGACACACTAAAATTTACATCATACAACGTAATCCTCTGCACCAAAACATCCCCCCACCACTGCTGCTTCCTCCCACAACAATTAACGGAATCACAGAGTGGCCATCACAGAAGGGAAATTCCCCAGAAATTGGTTGGTAATCGCAGAAGGGGAACAGCGAGCGCGATTTTATGAAGATAAGTGTAGCACTGTGTTCCACGAAGTAAGCTGTATGCAAGTATAAAAGCGAAGACTAGCAGGACATAGAAAGAGCCTACAGATATATTTGCTGAGTAAGAAGACGCGAAATGCTGGACGTGGGGCTAGTTTGGATGCTGTGTGTCGGTTCTTCGCAGTACGACACGGGAGAGGCTTCTAAGTTTGCCTGCCGGCCGTCGCCGAAGCGCCATTATGTCGCTGTGTTCGCAGGAATTTCATTTGCAAGCCGTGCTCCTCAAGGAAATATAGCAAGGTCTTCTCCCGAGTCTCACGCCTTAACATTCATTAAAGGCTCGAATAGTTGGAAGTCCGTCCTACTTTTATCTTCGTAATTACACATTTCCAATTTTGCGCAGTGTTAAAGCATAAACATGAAGACTTCAACAGAAAACAGAGCAGGCCTACAGCCTGACATGAATCATCATCGACAGACCGATTGCAACAGTGGGCACACAACACAATGTCTAGTTTTCTTATTTGACCTATTGTTAATTATATATTCCTCAACAAAAGAATATCCGAATGGATTTAGTACTTATAGGCTAAACAATAAAAAAATAAATGAAACCAAAAATAAGTAACGTGGTCAGAAATAAAATAACTGGTAATTTAAAACGTAAAATGTAGTAAAAATTTATCTACCCCTGATTGGCTATTTTCAACTCCCTAGATCAAAAGAAGTGGTCAGGGTTGCATTGTGACGCTATGTTACATAAGCTAATTCTAACAAAAATTCAATTAAAGTTTGTACGACCTACTCGGGATTAAACACTGCAATGCCCTGCCAAAGTATTTACTTTCAAGAAGTTTCGAAATTCTTGACTGCGTATGTTCTCCGATAACCAGCTGAGTGACAAGTACCAGTCCTGCCATCTAGCGATCGAAATCAGAGAGCGTCTGCTTGCGACCCTCGTAAACACTTTCTTTGTCATGCCTATTAATTACTGTCAACATATTAAACAAATCACGTCGACAGATCGCCCTGATGATGGAGGCAGTATGACCTCTGAAACGTTGGTTAACATCGACCAGACTACACAGCGCAACGACCCAGAAGACAGAAATCCTCATCGCCCTGATGATGGAGGCAGTATGACCTCTGAAACGTTGGTTAACATCGACCAGACTACACAGCGCAACGACCCAGAAGACAGAAATCCTCATCGCCCTGATGATGGAGGCAGTATGACCTCTGAAACGTTGGTTAACATCGACCAGACTACACAGCGCAACGACCCAGAAGACAGAAATCCTCATCGCCCTGATGATGGAGGCAGTATGACCTCTGAAACGTTGGTTAACATCGACCAGACTACACAGCGCAACGACCCAGAAGACAGAAATCCTCATCGCCCTGATGATGGAGGCAGTATGACCTCTGAAACGTTGGTTAACATCGACCAGACTACACAGCGCAACGACCCAGAAGACAGAAATCCTCATCGCCCTGATGATGGAGGCAGTATGACCTCTGAAACGTTGGTTAACATCGACCAGACTACACAGCGCAACGACCCAGAAGACAGAAATCCTCATCGCCCTGATGATGGAGGCAGTATGACCTCTGAAACGTTGGTTAACATCGACCAGACTACACAGCGCAACGACCCAGAAGACAGAAATCCTCATCGCCCTGATGATGGAGGCAGTATGACCTCTGAAACGTTGGTAAACATCGACCAGTCTACACAGCTCAACAACCTAGAAGACAGAAATCTTCATAATCTCATCTTACAAATCACGTCGAAATTAACAAGCTTAAAGGAGTGCGTTTTGTCTTTGTCTTTTGTTACGTTATTGCAGACAAATGCGTCGTAAAGATAATCTCAAATGCTTTCTCTTCCGTTTAAATATTCGCCTTATTGAAATGTGTTTAAAACAAAAGGCCTCAGATCGATAAGTCGATCTTGAAAGTAATCCCTGCCCTTAGATCTTAGCTTTATGTAATGTGGGGGGGGGTAATTACATTAATAACAACTAACGGGGATTCGAGAAATAAACTCGGTTCATACCCGAATATCAGAGTTAAATCAAATCAGGTCGGAGATGAATGATTTGGACAACCAGATGACGATGCGATATCCTATGCGATATCAAAATTTTCATCACGTTCTTACAACTTGGTCCGGTGCAAAAAGGTTTAGGCTATCTGCCTCAGCTGCAATGGACTACAAATGTTTGATACAAACTCGGAGGAACAGAAAATCAGCCCAGCCATGTTTACTCGGAAAACAGCCGATATCAAACAGTCGTGACGTCAGAGTATCGGCTCGAGCCCCAGGTTGTAACTGAGCTGACAAGGTCAACCCGAAGTAACTGTCACATGCCATGTGCAGTGAGACATGTTTTGGATGGGCTCCTCAGTCAGTTCAACCAATGCGGAGAGAGAGTGTCTCACGTGACACGTAAAAGAAGACCGTCTTTGACTAGCAGCACTAGATCTATTCCTACATAAAGCACTGTCAAAGAGGACACAGGCCTAAAGTAACATAATATGACACACTAGCATTGACATTTGGATGTCTGATTGCATGCTTTCTATTGTGTTAAAAATATGAATGCATGTTTTTTTTACAAACACGTTCCTATGAGAATTAAAAATATAAATATCAAAATGACGACAGTTTTATTGTTTGTCGCCAAAGCCATATGAACTGCTATTATGTTTACCAATGAAGATAAGAGAACGTGTAAGTTTATCACGGTTAAGAGAATATTAGGTGGAGAGTTTCTAATCAGAAAACAGAGCAGTATAAACACAGTAAAGGCAGCATTTTCCTATACTGGATACTGGGAACGACCCGTTCTTCAAGTGCCTGAGCACTGCGGGTCTAAACTTTTCGTTGACTTGATCTATAGACATTCGGCAGGACTCCTTGGACGAGGCCTCTACCTGTACACAGGACAGCACAACACAGACATCCATGGCTTGAGTGGGATTCGAACCCACGGTCCCAGCGACCAAGCGGCACAAGGCCCACGCCTCAGACCGCGCGGCCACTGCGGACCCCGCAGTAAAAACACATTTAAATAAGAAAGTTCAAAATACACGAAAAATCAACAACCTCAGAATGAAGTCTGAAAGTGTTAAATCGAGAAAACATATCGACTGACAAAGGAAAATATTCTGTGTTATGTAGGTCTGCGTGTAGAGATGTCGTTTAACCATTAAGTTGGCTAAACTTCTTTCCCGAACCAAATGAACTAGAAGCACTGATCGAAGCAATTAGTATTAATTATGACTTACTTTCAAAATCTTCGCTGGATCCCTCTATCGATAAACTGATAACAATTCACAGGCTGCCACTGCTGATACACTGTGACTGCAAGACCGTAACACAAACGCAAGAAAACAAACATTTACACTCGCAGCTCGAAACCCGCGCACTTTCAACACGCCATTTTTCACTGAAGTCGACTACCAACCTAACGGCCCGAAGTTTTAAATCGTTCGATGACTACATTTGTCGTTTTGATAAGGCTATAAAACGCATTTTCTCATCAGTCATTGAGAAGTAATTTGCGTACTTAGAAAATTTGTTTATCGTCCTATGCACATGGTATGCGTTTAATAAAACCTTTTTTAAACAAACTGTACATATCACTGCTCTTTGCTGATATTGATCACCTTCATATGTAGCATACGCCTCCGATATTACGTACACATTCCAACCTCTGCCCTGAATAAAAAAAAAGTGGAAATAATTTTCCTGTCGTATCATTGCTGTGAATGTCAGAAAGTTATTCACATTGAGGCACTTTCAGAGAGATTTGTAGTTTCGAGAACGTGAAAAAGTCACGCAGGAGACCAACGAAAAAAATATGATGGATTCTCCTACACCGGTATTTGATTTTGTTATGTGGGATGGCTCACTGTCATGACACACAATCCTTCTATCCGACCAACGACTTGAGATGATCTCCCTGCCCTAAATGTTACAAAATCTGATAGCAGTAGAATCGATGGCCGATTTCTGTGGAGGAACTAATTCATCATCGATATCAGAAAAGGAGTTATGCATTATTTCGCCTTAGATTTTCTCATTTGCTTTTTCTTTTCTTTTAAAAAAATTATTTTAGACTTTGGTGGCTTACTTCTGGATCACATTGTAAGGATGTCCGAAAAAGATGTACAAACATTCTCAGCGTATGAAATAAAGACACTTTAGTAAACTAAATCATTACGTACGTCAGCATTGGCACCTAGTGAATTAGCGAATCTATTGTAGGTGTTCAAAATGACCAACGTCAGCTTCGTGACACCGTTGAACAACTGACTACAAGGGGCCACCAAAGTTGCTGGTGTTTATGCGCCTTTTTTGGGACAGCCTGTATTATTTAGACGTGCCTAGGCCTCAAACGACTAATCGAAAGTGATTAAATGTCGACTTTCTGTATTATAGTCGGTTGCCAGAGCCTTGCTTGTTGAAGCGATGACTGTAATTGACACGCCTCTGCTGCAGGTTACGGCCATTCGACTCCTAACACGGTGGGCGGTAAGCTGTTCACCATGTGCTACGCCATCGTCGGAATCCCCCTGGGCCTAGTAATGTTCCAGAGCATAGGGGAGCGTCTCAACAAGTTCTCATCAGTGGTGATACAGAACGTGAAGCGCCTACTGCGATGCAAGGACGTCCAAGCGTCCGAGATTAACCTGATCTGCGTGGTGACAACACTCAGTAGCCTCACGATTGCAGGGGGCGCAGCTGCCTTCAGCCGCTACGAGGGCTGGACCTACTTTGACTCCGTGTACTATTGCTTCATCACTCTGACGACGATCGGCTTCGGCGATATGGTCGCATTACAGAAAGACAGTGCCCTGGAGACCAAGCCTGAGTACGTGGCCTTTGCGCTCATTTTCATCCTGTTCGGTCTGGCGATAGTGGCCGCGTCGTTGAACCTCCTCGTTCTCAGATTCGTCACCATGAACACGGAGGATGAGCGGCGCGATGAGGCTGAAGCCCTTCAGGTAACAATCTGTACATACATATTAATTATTGTATATTCCGTGTATCCGCAAGTTGGTCAGAATGACAATAGGATATGCAATCAGCCATAAAATACACAACTCACAGACAAATACATATTCACAACATAATCGGGATTTCATCTAAAACACAGCTTACACACGAAGTATACAAATGTTATGCTAAACTCATACATATACAGTAGATGGTTTATACTACATAAAGACTTAAAAACTTTACAAACATTATGACTCATTTTTAAACTTTTGGAGTTCCTTAACAACATAAAATGAGTGTGTATTTCATTTTCAATGCTATTTAATCATACCATTTTGAATATTTTGATGTCATTACAGAATGAAAACAGGCAAAACAAATTAATTTGAGTGTGTCAGGGTTGCTTTTATGAAATATTTATCAAAGTGCATAACATGCTGTGCTTGAATAAGGAATAATGTGATAAACATGATTCTTCCAGCTTAAGTGGTTAACAATTTATAAACCAAAGAATATTGTATTTACTGATGACTCTTCTATATATTTTCATCATAACCAATAAATAATGTATATTGTGGTGAATTATTTGTTTAAAGTTTTATAATATTTGTTTTATCTAGATTTAAGGCTACCTTGTTAGCAGTGGCCATGCGGTCTGAGGCGAGGGCCTTGAGTAGCTTGGTCGCTGGGACCGTGGGTTTAAATCCAACTCAAGCCGTGGATGCTTGTCCGCGTTTTTCTGTGTTGTGCTGTCCTATGTTCATGTAGAGGCTTTGTGATGAGCCAATCCCTCGTCTAAGGAGTCGTACCGAATGTCTATAGATCAACCCAACAAAAAGTTGGGACCTGCAGTGCTCAGGCACTTGAAGAACGGATCGTTCCCAGTATCCAGTTGTTAGCATTATACCAGATACTCATATGAGAGAGAACTATGTTTGAAACTGTACAGAAATCATCAAAATGTTTACAAGAAATTATCACACTAGTGTCATCAGCGAATGTAATAGGCTTTGATAAGATATTTATTTATATTACAACAAATAAAAGTCCCAGAATTGACCCTTGAGGGAACTCCATGTTTACTGTTTCCCAGTTTGAGAAAAAATGCTGGGTTACTGTTCAGATAGCAATACAACGTGGAACTACTTTCTCAAACCAAGTGTTGCTTATCACAATTCTTTTAAGAGAAGAGGGAAGTATATGCTTGTTTTATGATTGCTTTGGTTTCATGATAACTGAAAGGAACAGAACACAGAGTTAGACTTCACAGTTCTGGCAGTCCCTCTTTCCTAAAAGAAATGTAATTTGAAGGTATCTTAACTGCAAATTCACTAATGTCACTTTTTCTGCACCAGGGGTTTGTAATGTTCTGTCACTGATGTAGTTTATGCTGGCTGTGTACATTTTTTTTAATATGTTGTTATTCTGTGTGATAAAATAAGTTAACACCTAAATTAAATTTTTAATTTTAAGCAGATGTCAATAAAAATAATAAATTGTGAGATATAAATTCACTATGTTTGGTAGTAGCTTATTGGTTCTAAGGATGGCACCAACAACATCATTACCTTGCACTAGCCCTTCCACAAGCAGAATATTTGCAAGTAAACATGGAGCCAGTTCAAAAAAATAATGAAAGCGAGTCTAATGTCCACTCTGCTTAATGGTCTGTCAATCTCACTTTGTGACAGGTATGTGGTGATTTCATTTGATAGTACTGTATTTTTATCAGTATTTATTTATGTAAGCATTGCTATTCCAAGTAAAAAAATGAAAGTGAATGATAAATTATGAGTTTCCCAAGGGAGTCAAATTTTAAACACTCTAATTCTTTATGGAATTATACAAAAAGCACTTTGTATAATTTGCAAAGAGACTGTGGTAGTGATAACCTTAAGAGGCATTGTGTTATTGCAACATGCTTCAAGTATCATTTTTAGAGTGATAAAGTTTGGTGTCTGAATTGCAGCATGATGCTTAAACATATATTGTTTGAGGAAAGAAGTATGAGATTTCATGATATCAAAATATAAGCCTGTTCATGTGTTCAGAATTTGCGACAGATGTGTAACATAGATTACTGAACATTTGAATGAGATTAATTTTCATCTTCAAGGCAAGGACCAACTTCTTCACATCATCTGTAATTGTATTACAGGAGTTCAGATAAAACTCGTATTATGAACTGCCAACTGGAAGCTGATAATTGTATGCCAACATGGGATATGGGGATTTAAATGTTTGGTACTTCAGAGGTTAAAAGGGTATCAAATATAATTTAGAAACTAGAGAAAATACTGTCAACAAGCATATATACTATGCTATATTCATGTGAGAAAGTTAATTTACTTTGAGAGCTGCCTGTAGTTTTGTGTTTTTGTAATCATTCTCACACACACATTTTTGTGCATACACATACACTCATGCACATGCAAAAATAGACTGATGAGTGGACAAACAGATATCATGTTGTGACTGCAAGCATATTTTACAATTCAACCTCTAACTTAAAAATAAACTTAAATTTAACATAAATGTTAGTGGTCAGAGTTTATGTACATAACATGTTCTGGTTATAGATGAAGTCTGAAGTTTGAAGACTGAAGCTAGCTCAGCCAGGGGGCTCAACAGCTAGAGTTTTGATTCTCTTACTTTTTACCTGAATATGGAAGAAAATTCAGCTTCTGAAAAGTTGGTTTTATTTTTGTATATATAATTTAGATGACGAGTTACCCTCAGTGAACTAGTGGTTAGCATGCTCTCCACTAGACTCAAGGTTCACGGGTTCAAACCCGGCCCAGGTCGACAGAATTTTAAGGGTGATAAAAATACTTAGCACAACTTCCTTCGGAGGGGAAGTAAAGCTGGTGGTCCCATGTCATAGATTTACGGCATGTGAAAGAACCTTACGAGCATGAAACAAGATGTTTCATAAGCAAAATTTAGCAGCCATTTCTCACCCAAGTCTCCTGATTCACTGCTAGATGGTTCTGGCAGTCAAATCAGGATTGAGTAGAAATTGTGCAGAGTCAGTGGGCTGGTCATTCACTACTTATAAATGCACACCTCAAGACCAAGAAACCTCTGTAAAAAATCCCACAACTGGGTTGTAGAGCGAAGAAAGAAGACTAAGAATTTAGACGATGGACAAAGTCCTGGAATCCAATTTTTACAAAACGTAGTGGTTATATTGCCATAACTTCTGGAGTGCCTGTTTATTTAATAATACTTTATCTATTGTACTGTTTACATAGCATTGATGATGGAGTGATATGTGAATGAAAAATTAGAAAGGGTGTAGAGGAGTGATTGTAATATGTTATCCCAGAATTTGCCTGGAATTACTAAAGCAAATCATCTCTGTTAGGATAGCTGGACTCTGTGCTGTTTTGAGTATGGCAGGACCATGACTTAGGTGTATATAGTGGCATTTCCGCCACATGAAATGTAATGGTTATACAGCTATGTCTCTGACAGCTGGACAGTAGCATCCAACATTATAACAGCAAGACTGCTTCATTGTGAATTAACAATGTCTGTAGTGCTGGTTGTCATTAATTTTGTTGCAGGCAGCGCAAGGTGCGGTGAGACTGGAGGGTGATGTGATCACTGCAAATGGGTCTATCATTAGTGGTCAGCTTGGAAGAGGGGACTCCATTTCATTGGAAGATGCAGCTTCAGTTTGCAGTTGTAGTTGTAGCTGCTACCCAGATCCAGCCAAACTGGCTAGGCACCGGTACACAGTGCGCCGCTCTCCTGGAAAGATCTCACACCTACTTCCATTACAGCCTCTAGGACTCCAGCAGGGGACAAAGGAATACATGTGCAGAGAAGTGCACAACCATCGTGCCTCCATCTGACAACTCCTCAGTGCCAGTGTTGCCAATGGACAACTTGGTCTGGTGCTGCTGGTGACTTATAGTGGGACGCCATCTTGTGAAGTGGTGTTTTGATGCTCATTGACATAGAAATTACTGACACAGTTTTCAAGTTTACATCACAAATCATCATTATAAATATTTTACATTTGTTTCTTCTTAGTGATACTTAGGAATGGAGACAGCACTGAATTATTTTCAGACAATATTTCCCTAATTCAAAGACATTTCATTCTGCTAAATAAGTACATGTGTGAATCCCTTTTGTCCAGGCAAAGTTTCTTGAACCCTTCACTTTACATAATAATTACCATTTTACATCCAACCAGTTCTGCATATTTGATGATTTATTTTACCTAATTTCTTGTTCAGCAGAAAATTTCTACATTCTCCACAAGTTTCATGTGGACTGCTGTGCATAGAAAACTTCACTTGGGCTCCCATACCTTCCATGTGTTTGTGAGGACACGCCTGTCTGTGATGATGATGTTCAAAACTGAATGTATGCTACTGATTTGGTTTTAAAAGTTGAAATGTTGGTATCTTTACTGTATGATCTTCATACAGGGAAATATTTTCAGTGCTTAAGGCAAGAGCCACACATTATTTCTCATTAGATACAAAACATCTAACCAAACCTTCATTGTGGTTCTGGGACCATGAGAAGTGTAGAATAAAAGGGCATTATGTAGAGTCCAGCCACATGACAGGTTAAAGGTTAAGGCCTGAAAAGATGATTGAGGTTGTGGTATTGTGCTGGCTCCTCAGACCTGACACAGCTCAATAGTTCTGAGCTCTGTAAAGATGATTAACAGTTAAGAACCAAGGCATTCAGCAAAGAAATTATACTTCCATGCCACTTTGTTGTATTTATGATACTTTTATTTAAAACGCTGGCTTAAAGCTTTATAACCTCTTTATACTTTGGTATACAGCAATTATGACGATGGTTTGGAGTGAATAATGGATGTGAAGTTGATTGAGCTTCCTGATTATAGGACTGTCAGTATATTAACTCAGAACTTTAACTTAAAACAAGAATCTGCATTTCTGTATTGACATTTCTTTGACATCAGATGTAGTGGTTATAAATCTGTGACTCAGTTCTTTTGGAGAAGTTTCCTCCACACTATGCGTAATGTTTAGGTATACTACCAGAGAATTGTTTGTGAAAATGGAATGCACAATGAGAAGGTAAGCTTTGCATAAAATCAGTCAGCTGGTGTCACTGGATAATCATTGAGCTGAAGAAATTGGTTCGTCATTTTATAATTAGCTGTTCTTTGTAATATTGTATAGAAAGCTATGATGGATAGTACCACCAGACTGGAAAGGATCAAACTCAAGCACTATCTATGTTTAAATAAATAAAGCAGGGTCCCAGATGACAGGAATATTACGATTGTAAACTGTCACTGAACTTCATAATCTTCCTCTTAAGTAATGACAATAATTACTAAGTGACACAAAACCCACTCAATATTTAAACAGAATAAGTTCTTTCATATTTTATTATGCGGATTTGAAATTAGTAATTTTCTTCTGTTGCGATATATTTAGAAGCTTAAAATACTTAGAGTTTCAAGCAGTCCATGGTATCACCTACAAAGTGAGGTCCAAATTGCTTTAAATTTAATTTTGAAGAGCCAAGAAACCCATTGTTTAATAAGAGCATGTTACAAGGACACCAGTAACAAGTGAGCACTAATCCATGCAGACAGGGGAGTTTGTTGGAGATAAAGCTTTGCACATTCTTAATCCCTTGGCATTAGATCTGAACAGAGATAGGACACACACTACAGTGTGAAAAATTATTTGACCCAAGGGCATGCAGATCTTCCTGCAAGTTTATACTGACAGAGATTCTGTCATCTTGAAATGTGTTTTGAAGTAACTTCAGATCTCCTTTGAATAAATAATAACAGTAAAATAGAAGAAAGCGGGATATTTACTGGGAGTCATGACTGCACCCTTTGCATGTCAGAATATGCAAAGTAATGAACTGCAATTTATTGTTTGTTGATGTTTTTAGGAAATACACTGGCTTACATTTTTTATAGTTCTGCTGATGCCTCTGTCATAAAATCTTTCTATCAGTAAACATATTGGAACTATGAAAAACTTTCAAAATATGAATATGTAGTAGCTATAATCTGGCATAGAAACTGTTTAGAATCATCCATTGACGTGCTGTAAGAAAACAAACATGACTCAGCATGTATTAATCAGCCATGAAAGCAAATCCTTTCCATGTTCATGGAAGTATTGTTCAGTTTCCTCAGGTATTAAATAGTTCTGACTCTACTGGAAGGAATTAAATAACAAAACTGACCAGATCAAAGATACTGTGCTTACTCTCATGTCTTAGTCACTAAAAAACTGCAAAATATTTGCAACATTATATGAAAAGTACTCAATGGTAGTACCATCTTGCAGACAAAATGTTGTTCCATGTATCAGTGGTATTAGTAAAATGATAGCTGGTATTTACAAAGACAGTACAAAACAAATCTGGCATAATTGATGTGCTCTTGGCCAGCAGAAGGAAATATGAATGAGGTATTTGATGTGACAGTGATCTTGAAACAGTTTAAGAAAAGGCATGCTAAATATTTGAGTTTTGAAATTGGGATGGTTTGTTAACCTTTAAAGGCCCACCATATCTTTTAAGACAGCATCCGTAGGTGGCCCATCATATGCTTCAAAAGACAGCATGCATCACTATTGCTTTGTGATTGTTGCATTGGTTTCTAATCCTCAAAATCAATGTCGGTAAAGTCTAAAAGGATGACCATATAATCTTAATAAGTTTTCTCGTCAAAAGAACCCTATAATATTCTTTTGTAAATATTTTACCTTACTTTAACAACTAACAGCTGAAATTTATAAGTGGGAAAGACCTCCTTATTTTATGCTATGCTTTATAGCATTAAAATAAAGACAGAGTAAAAGGCTGTAAACTATTTCATTAATGTGATATGAAATGGGCACAAGTTAACTATTGATACATGCTAATAAGTGGTCCTTTCAAATTTCATAATTTTTATTTATGTGTGGGTTGATTATAACATTATTTTTAGAGTACAATTTCAAAGGCACATATTTATATACACCTAATCAAGCTTCAGTTAGGGAAGCAATGCATAAGATATTTTTATAGTAATTCTCTGGTATAATTGTGGGTTTCGCTGAAGCAACAAATTCTAGAAGGGTTTATGTCCTTTACTGGCATGGTAATATATATGCTTGTTCTGGTTTAGTGGTTTATTTCACCGTACCTTTAACATTGGTGTGGTCTACTGTCATGGTCAGATCCCAGCTCTGTATTTGTATAATTTTCTCATTTTCATAACAAGTTATAATCAATAAATAAATAGCAGAGCCCTTTAAATGTCTCCAATAAGTGAAGAAAATACCGTATCAGGACTGTACACAGATCAAGATTCTGAAGAGAACTTTTTAGATGAGGAGCCAGGTGTTTGGAACATTTTTTTCTTCCCCTCTTCCCATATTCAAAAGAGAATAGCTTGCAGTAGTGTTACATTGGATTGTAATGCAGCACCTGTTATCAAGGATGACTTTTCTCTCATTGAATACTCCAAAGACATTTTCACTAAGTTTGTGGGCACATTATTAGTGAAGGACTGAAGTCTGTAGTGCCATCAATGTGAACATCCTACAAGTAACTAGAAGCCTGCAACTACAAGAGATCACAGGTGAAGAGATAAGAATATTCAGTGCACTTATTCTCTAAATGGGGCACAGGTAGAGAATTTTCACTGAGGAGCTGCTGTTGCACAACATACAGTATTAGATATCTGTCTTCTCTAAATTAATTATTCACAATTACCTTTTTTATATTTTGACATTATACCAATAACTCAACTGCCCCGCCCACCCACTGCTGCAAGCAGAGAAAAGAAGAATTAGGATCGTACATGGCATTTCACACATCCTGATCCATTTCCTACAACATAAAATGTGCTTAC